AACAACAACTAACTTTTAACCAGAAATTAAACCCATGGATCAACATTACTTTACACAGTCATTAGTGAGATAGATTAAATAAATATTCATTGAAACATTTAAAGCAGCAGAGGTCGGTGTAATGATAAAGGATAAAGAATAATAAACCATATCTCAAAAGTACATATCCATAAAATACTATTACCTCAAATATTACAAACACTGTCTCTTTTTCACTTAAACAATTTAAAAACATATTACACCACCGTCAGAAATGTTATGATATTACAACATTTTTTATGATTGATGGTTAGAACGCTTGCCTTGCAAGCAGGAAGACCTGGGTTCGATTCCCGGAGGAGCCACATATTCCTAATGGCGTCCCAGCTTGTGTCGTTGACAAAGACTCACTCTGTGAATTCCCTCAATGTGGAACCAACAAGAGACTCAAATAATATTGTGATTATCGGAGTATTGAATTCTTTGCAGTGACGTTTCGTAATGATTTGAACTTGGATGAAGACTCCAGATCACTGCAGTCCACGACCGCAGTATGATGTATATTATGCTGTGGTATTCTGTCACTTTATGTACTGAAGTTGAACTGTGATCTCCAGGTATTACTGCAGTGTTTCAAAATGAATGTGTACTGGCTAAATGGCTGCTGAGAACGTCTCTGAGCTGCAGTCAGGGTGTAATGTGTCATGACGTGGGGAAAATGAAAAACTGACAGATGTGTTTATGTCAGGGATAACGACACAGTGGGGATTTGCAAGACAGTCATTTTTCCTGTAGGTGGCAATGCATCCCCGGCCATTTCTCCTCCCACGTGTGGGAGCTGTCATATTAGTGATGTGGATTTATTGTGTGTTTTATGTAGTGTAATATAATAGACGAATACTATGGGGTTTTTAAACATAGAGTATAAAATAACGAAGTACACGTTTCAAAGTCACTCACAGAATTCTATTTTTATTGTAAATGTTATTGTCGAGTCGAACCACTGCCCGACACTCCCTGCGCTGCCTCAGAGGCAGGTGTTCGACTGTCAGACGGTCCCTGAGCAGGTGGGAGTTTCTCTTGTTTCTTGGTGTGGGATTAAAAAAAAAGAAAAAAGAAATCACAACACTCTCTCCATCTCCAGTCGAGTACAGCGCTCAGGACGCGTTCTGAGGTGAGGGCTGTTTGTTTTTTACTCATTCTCGTGATTCTGATGGTTGATCCACCGTGGACCTCGGGCTGCTTTATCGGCGCTGCTTTGTGGCGCAATCGTTTTTCATTTCAAGTTAGAAATCAGGAAGAAGACGGAGGGAGTGTTGACTGTTTGTGTGTGCGTGTGTGTGTGTGTGTGCTGCAGTCGAAGTAACAGCAGAGCCAGTCAAATGTTGATGACTTTTCCACCTTTATTCACCTACGCTGGGGATTGAAGACCTGATGAAAGGTCCTGGCGTCGCGTGTTGTTGTTGTTGCCTGGTTTGGGTGAGGACGGCTCCGTGGCAGCGTGTCACAGACTCGGATTCCACCCAGATCAGATGCAGCCCATTCCCCTGAACCTATTGTTTCCAGCTGGACTGGATATGAGGCTTATAATCAGCACCAGTGATTGTAACTGTTGGTTTCCATGGTTTCAGATCAGAAATGGTATTTCATTCATGCTGTGAGCCCACTCTGCCTCCACACTGCTGCTGTGCTGACCCTCCCTCCCTCCCTCCCCCTTCACCAGCTGAGCAGGTACACTGACCTGTTGAGTCCATGTTGTCATTCTCTACACACAGACATTTGGAGCAGTCCTTTATTCTGGGGGGTGGGGGTGAGGGGGTAAACCTGCCATTTGCCCCCAGAGTCTGGTGAAAGGACGTGGCCTTCAAAGAAAGGCAGCTCCATAACGAGCTCCTGATATTTCACTGACTCCGACTCCTGCCTTTGTGTGTGCGCGTGGCACCACGCGTGTGAATAAAGGTCCTGATGTTTGTATCTGTAATGAAAAGGCAGATTGAATTTTAATGAAGGGGGGTGGGGGGTGGGGTGAGGGAGGGGGGGTTAAAGTGTCAGGGAAGGTCTGTGTTCATCACAGCTTCGTGATGAAGGACAGTGAAGATGGTAATTAGAGTGGGTCATTCATTAGAGCAGGTCTTCATCCTGGCCGTCTGCCGTGAACAAGTCGTTACCGAAACAAATCTCATCATCGTCGGTCAAATCTGATCATGGCTAAAAGAAAAAAACAACAAACAAACCTTGTTTTGCTGCCAGTTGTCTGTAGAAACCATAAAAACTATTCTATGATCATATGATCATTCATCTCTTATCAAAAGTCAAACCGCTCTGGTCTTATTTACCTCAAACTGTCAAAATTAGCCAACAAAAGAACGGGGAAAAAATGAACTGGAAAGCGTTCTTCCTACGTTCTGTTTGAACACCTGAATAAGAACTGGAAAGCGTTCTTCCCACGTTCTGTTTGAACACCTGAATGTCACGTAGGGACCTGACGTCTTGGTTTAATAGCTGGTTACAACAAATGTTTTTAGGCACATACTGCCCCCTACTGTACTAGAGTGTGTATTTTCATGGTATGACCACTGACTTTCTGATCCTCGACACTTGATTCATTTTTTTTCTAATTTCAACCGATGCAAATTGTCACAGATTTGTATCAATTTTTAACCGAATCACGATACATCGTTACATCTCAGGTGGAACAACTCGGTACCAAGTTGAAGGCTTTTTTTTTATCGCAAATCTGCTCTGATTAAATGGATAATAGTAATAATAATGTGATATTCTGTAGATTTCTAATATGATACATTTAGTAAAAATGAAGTTTCATTATTTCATGTTGCAATAGAGGGCGTGGCCCCCGGTGAAAGTCTTGCTTGCGTGCAACGCTCAGTGGCTAAGTGGCTAATTTTGAGATTTCATAAAAAGCAGCCTTGTTATTGGTACCTCTGTCACATGACCAGAAGGAATTATTAGGAAAGAACAAACAGCAGTGGCTGTAATGGTTTTTTTTTTATTCCAAAATAATTTTAAAAAAATCTGTGACCAGTTAATAAATAAATAAATAAATAAATAAATACAAAGCTCTAAAAAGATCACAGTAGAAGGCTGTTCAAATTCATGCATCACACGTACATTAATATTTCATGAGACTCTACGCTGAGATTGAAAGGAGAGCTACAGTCTCCAATGGGACTTGGGAATAGGCTAGTATTTCTGTAAATATATCTTGTTTCTGAGGGTATTTTGAATCGTGTAAAGAGCCTATAATCAAAGTTTAATAACTTTACCAAGTTAATTGTTTTATGGTTTACGCGTTGTAATGGTGTGAGGTGCATATTACAATCCCATTTAGAGGAAAATGG